TATATATATATATATATATATATATATATATATATATATATATATATATATATATATATCAAGGCTCTGGTGGTTCTGCAATCACGTAAGCCCCGCAGTTTAAGATCAGGATGGAAACAAAATACCTCGTACAACCTGGTGACACGCTGTCTCATCACAGCTCCTTATCCAGTACTGCCTAGCGAGGGCTTCCCGGCTGCTGGGAGCTGGGGGAGGTCATGCTCTGGTCCTTGAGGCCACTAGCAAAGGCCTGGAAGAAGTGGGGTCGGGGGAGGGAAAGGTGTAAGAGGGAGGCAAGAGAAGGATTTAAAAAAAAAGCCTCAGAGGATTCCTGTGGTGGCTGCCAGCCTGGGGCGCCTTCGTCACCTGGTGTTGATTTTACACATGCTCAGCCTCTCCCCTCCAGCTGCCAGCCTCCCGTTTATGTGTTCAAACCCCCTTCTCCTTGCCCCTAACAACAGGGTGGAGTTCCAGAACAAGTTCTACGTCGGGGCTGGTTACAAGTTTTCTCCGTTCTCCTTTAAACAAATCCTGGACGGGACAGCTGAGCAGTAGCTGCACGTCTGGCGGCTGCAGCCGCCTCTTCCATCAGTCACCTCCTACACCAGTCTCTGTGCCAATGAAAGAAGTGTTGTCTTGTCTTTAACGTCAGCCTGCATAAGGCAGTCAATGGAATGATTGTTCTCGCTAACCGGAGGGAGGAAGCCATGTATTGTATCTGTAAGCCGTGGGATTTGATATGACTTAACCATGTCGTAGAGAGACTACACAGGCAAGTCATTTCAACCTCATGCGGGGTCTTAATTGTCAAATCCTAGAATGATTGAGAAATGGGGAGAGGGGAGTGCCAAACTGAGATTTTCTTGTAATTAAACTTCTGGGTCATCCACTTAGTTATTAAAGTGTCTTTTTTCAACATTATTCTGTAAAATTGAGTATTGATAATTGTAGGCCAAAGCTAAACAATAGAGTTACACAAAGTAACCCTAGAGAAAGGTTATGGTTTTTTATTCCTCATTTCCTCCTTCCTCAAATACCTTTTTTCCTTGTCGGGGGCTAAGTTTTACAGGATTAGGGACGTTCTCAAGAATTTTCACTCCAGGTGAGGAAAAACAGATAATGTTCTCTGTTCAGATGGAGGCCTGGCCCTGGCGTGGCTCGAATTGTTAAATCCTGTGGAATGAAGTGTGACAACATGATATCATCAGTGATTTTGTTTATTCTCAGTGCACATTGTGCTGGAGTTAACAGGAGAAAGAGATCTGTAGGCTTCAGCAAGTTCTGGAAAATGGCTTGCCGGGAAGGAGACTGCCAGACAGTCTATCCTGATGCTCTCTGGGTCAGCCGGCCCCAGAGTCACTTCTTACGCATCTTCACTGGCAAACTTCCAAGACCCAGGTGTAGAGGAAGATGTGTTCCATCGACTAGTCTGAACAGCCTGTGTTCAGGTTAATTACCATCTTTATGGTAACTATACGGGTAGAATTAAGTGTCATTAACATTGGTGTAGTGCTTTACAGTTTACAAAGCAGTTTCACATAGTATCTAGCTTGTAATAAGTTTCCAGAAGATCTGACCAAATGCAAAATCGCCTTTTGGACAGATCTCTCTTTTTCTTAAGCTCCCACCTGCCCCTCCGTGTAGCGGGGTTGACGATTGTTCATGTTCAAGTGTCGTCATTCAAGCCCAAGGAAACGTCCGTGTCACCTTCCACGTTGGTGTCCTGACTTGTGCAGCACAATTTAAGGCACAGTCAGGTGCTCAGCAAGTATTCATTTAATGATTAAAACAGGTTGAGCTCAAGAATGATATAGTTGGGGTCAGAAGACTCCGTATCTATGAGTTCCAACTTCGATACTTTATCATGTGTGCCCTTGGGCAGGAACTGGAGTGTTCCACATATTGCTGGGGGTCGAAGAGCACCAAGCATGGATGAGGTACTCAGCCAATGGCATTGATCAAAGAAAAGGACAGACTAAAGTAGTATGTAAATGGTTCTTGTAAGTCCATAAGTCCCCGTGCTGCCAAGGTCACCAGAGCGTTTCAAGGTTCTCTCAGCTCATCACTGCCCTTCTCAACGACTATCTAAAAATACGCTATGCCTACATGGGTCACAGCCTTTTGCCGTTTAATTCTAAACAGTGATGGCTGTGAGAAAAGGCGTGAAAAAACAAAGCTGCCCTCTGCCCCTTGCTTGCTGAGACCCCTGTTCTTTCAGAAATCCCCGGCCTTCTTGAGAACGACATAGTAGTTTCTTCCAAGGATTGGCAGCCTCTTTGTGTCTCGATGAGAGATGTCATTTCCCCTTTAAAAAGGGATTGGGTGAAGGGCTGCTGAGAAGAGGCTGTGACCAGCATGTCACTCAGTCGCCCAGGATGCACGATTGTTCCTTAAAGAATCCTGTTCACAGAACTAAGCTGAAAGGGGAGGAGAAGACCTGCGAGCCAGGCTTCTTGGGAAGGGAAGTCCAGAAGCCCCCAAGAGGCCATCAGTGGCCCAACTTCTGTGTAAGACTCAGCTGCAGTAAGGAAGAGCAGAAGAGCCCAAAACTGGAAAGCTTCCCAGGAAATACAGAGAGGTAAGAAACTCCGACAGGCAACATAGATCTGGATTTGCTTTTTCTGCTCTGGTAGCCAAGGGGATTTGACCATTAGTACTTGGCTGAATACGGATGGAGTATAAAAATTTCTCTCTTCTTACTGATGATATTGCAAAACAAATTACATCACACACACACACACACACACACACACACACAAGTTCAGTTTTAAAAAGCTCTACATGGCCTAATTGTTTTTGGCTCAAAAATTAAGTGTAATAAATTAAAAAAAAAAAATTAAGTGTAGCAAAATGCAGTAGAATAAAATGTCCATCAGTTCCTTAGAAATTGTTTGAATGAAGCCTGAACTCCATCTGAGCCCTTGAGTTTCACAGTAAATGCCCAATATGTCAGTTCTTTGAAGGCAGGCAATGGTTACTTTCCTATTGTAGGTTTTCAGGAATGAGAGTGAGGGATGTGGAGCGTTCTTCCCCATGTTAGTCCCTATTTTCTTGAATTGGTCTGACTGGTTATCTATCTGTCCATCCCTCCATGCATTTATCCATCATCCATCCTCTTCCTAGGCTAGAAGGGATTTAGAATGACTTAGGGAGCCAAAGAATAGAAGATGCCAACTCAGCTTTTCCAACATTCTTTTTCAGCGTTGAGATTACAAGCTCTGTCTCTCAGTAACTTTCCTCATATTCATCTCCGAAATATTTTGTCCTCTTTATAAAAACTTTTTAAATGAAACTTTTGGCTGGAACTCAAGAAAATGTAGTAAGAGAATACTTTCCATATCTGTTAACTTTGAGTTAGTATTTGAGTGTCCTCTTAATGACATGGAATGAAAGCCCCTTTATTTTTTTTACTTATTTATTTTTAATTAATTAATTAATTAATTTTTGGCTGCATTGGGTCTTAGTTGCTGCCCGCGGGCTCTCTCTAGTTGCGGCGAGCGGGAGCTACTCTTCATTGCGGTGCGTGGGCTTCTCGTTGTGGTGGCTTCTCTTGTTGCAGAGCATGGGCTCTAGGAGTGCGGGCTTCAGTAGTTGTGGCACGTGGGCTCAGTAGCTGTGGCACGTGGGCTCAGTAGTTGTGGCACGTGGGCTCAGTAGTTGTGGCTCGTGGGCTCAGCAGTTGTGGCCCACGGGCTCAGTAGTTGTGGCACATGGGCTTAGTTGCTCCATGGCATGTGGGATCCTCCCGGACCAGGGCTCGAACCCATGTCCCCTGCATTGGCAGGCAGATTCTTAGCCTCTGCGCCACCAGGGAAGCCCTGTAAGCCTCTTTATAATTCACAGATGTGAATAACAAAATCCTGATAATACGCTATCAACAACCCTGCACCCCTACAACCAACATGCCCCCACCAAGGAATCCTGTGGTTGAAGGCCCCGTATAACCTACTAGGGCAGGAATGAGAACTTTCTCTGTTGCGGGTAGTTTATATGTTTGTTTTTTCCATCCCTTGGCAACCTCCCCTGACACTGGGAATGCATCTGAGCCTTGACCATCTTCAAGGAAGGGCTGGGCATTAGAAAGATTGATGTTACAGTTGGCGAAACTGAGCGGGTTTGCTCCTCTGAGTGGAGTCTGGGTCACACGTGACTGCCAGGTTTTTTGTCCACCAGCACCGCACCCCTGCACCAACCAGGCCATTCCATGTTCAGAAGGTTTTTCTTTCTGTAAAATACGCTGGTTTTACAATTGAAAGCAATGTAGAACAAGCGCGTTCTTAGTGAAAATTACCCCTTTTGTTGCGCTCTTCATAAGTATAAGGTGACTGGATTGGGTGGATATCACTGTTACATATCTGATTAGAGAAGTTATTTTTGGTCTTATGTTCCAATAGGCGTATGGCACGTGTGAGGGCTTCCTAACACCACTTAAGATGACCCTTGAAATTTAATCAGTCTATTTTAGAAAACAAGCAAGTTTTTTTCCCCCAATTTGGGTGGTTTCTAATTTGAGTCCAAGGTGTTTTCATGTTGGCCAAATATTAGCAATAATTGCATTTGGAGAGATATACATTTGATAACACTGTAGATGCTTAGAAACTTACCCTGAGTGTATTTGATTTGTGATTATGGTGAAATTTTAGAAATTTAGTTGATACCTTTATTCAGAGATGAGAAACAGTGCGACCATGAGCGCTTATCTTGCAGTGAGCACTGTGCCGTATTATACAAGCATTATCTCATTTAATCCTCATAACACACTTAAAAGAAGGAAGTTTATCAGTTAAAAATCACACATACCTGGCTAGTCCGAGTGTAGTGGTGTTTACAGTCGATCACAGACAGTTACAGATTTCTTTGTTCCTTCTCTACTCCCACTGCTTCACTTGAGTAGCCTAAAGAAAGCACGCGCGCACACACACACACACACACACACACACACACACACACACAGAGCTTTATTTTTTCCCCGTGGAAAATATGTCTGGAAGTGAACCATTCAAGGCTGTAGGAGAGCTCCAAATCCTCCTCGTCCTTCAGGTCTCAGTTTTTCAGGACTCGCCTCCCTGGGTCCCAGGACTCAGCAAAGCAGGGCCTCCCTTACGTTGCCAGAGCAACCTCTGCTACCCTTGGGACCATGTGGTTCCCGCCTGAATACTTGCCTTTATCCCCCATTAGATTGTAAGTGCTTTGGGGGCAGGAACCCTTTTCATGATATCTTATTGTCTGATACATAGTAGTGTTCCATAAATATTTGTTGAAAGACAAAACACAGTTTCAGACATCTCTCCTGAAATTTCTGTGCAGGTGTGTATTTAAATGAGATTTTATGAATCGAGATCATTGTATACATACATTAGGTACATACACATTGGAAAATGCTTTTCAGCGCCAAATAGCCTTTCACCTACGAGCTTTTAAATGACATTCTGTTACAGGAGTGTATTATCATTTGTTTGGTCACGTCTTTACTGGTCGGCATTTAAGTGGTACCCAATTCTTTCATCGCTGTTGTCAAAAGAACAGTGTGTTGAGCTTTCATGCACCTTTATCTTCATTCACCTCTTTGATTACCTCACTAGAATGAATCCTAGGAGTGAAATTGCTTAGTCAACATTCTTTCATCTTTGCCTAACTGCTTTCTGGAAAAGTTGTAGCCATGTACCCTCCCACCAATATCAGTGCCTGTTTCCCTTACATTGGGCACAACTGATCTTTAAGGTTTTTGCAAATCCAATAGAGGAAAATAACCCACTTTAATTTGAAGGCAGAGTTCTCTTCATATTATGGAAACCAAGTAATATCAGTCTCTTCAATCAAGAAACATGAAATCGCAAATGTGAGCCTCCCTTCCTGCCATCAGCTTGTTTCTTTTCCTTTTTTTCGGCCGTGCCACCTGGCTCATGGGACTTTAGTTCCCCGACCAGGGATTGAACCCTGGCGCTTGGCAGTGAGAGCGGGAGTCCCCACCATTGGACCGCCAGGGAATTCCCTCAGCTTTAATTGAAGAGAAACTGAAGCAATTATCTTGGACCTAACACCTTTCTCTCCAGGAACTCTGTGATGAATCACTTCTCTTTGCTGATAAGAGAAGGAAAGTATGTAGGGCATTTATGACCCATGGAGCTACCTAATCCGTTAAAACACACACATCAAATTAAAACTTAATAGTAAGTGGCAGATTTCCTGGGTTTC